TATATATATATTTTAGCAACGCCTGATTTTGTAAATCAGGTAAATTGCAGCCTTTCTTGTGTAAATTTCTCTTGCTTGCATGTAAGTTGTTTCTCTAAACAGGTGCAACCTGCTCTTTAATATAATTCTCCATAGTGCAGCAGACAGAACCCTCCTCCTTTTTTGTTTTATTGTCTTTTCCAGCTCAAAGCAAAACTAAAATAATATACGAGATAGCTGAAATAGCCAATTAAAAAAATAGAGCAGAGGAAAGGAAATCTGTAATCATAGAAATGGATACGTCAACAGTTTGTACCTGTTTCAAGAGACAGCAGTTAGTGCTGCAACAAAAAATATCTGCAGATTAACTGACTTTTCTTCAGATTTTAAATTTTAAATGAATTATTTCTAAACTAAAATATATTTTATTTGATCTAACTTTCAAATGTCCAAAGATGTTTTAATCTAGTTTTAACACCAATGAATATAGCTGAAATAATACAATAATTACATTTAAAATCTAAATTTAAAAGGGGTTTAAAGTTTTTTTTGGTAAATTGGTTTACATAATTACCATCATACATCATGATACTTCTTCCACAAGAAAAAATACACAGTGTGAGAGCTCCAGTCATTGACATAACATAAGTAGAATGAAACTAGTGAGATCATAGGGGTTGATTTACTAACCTTATAAACACACCACGAATGTGTATACACCTCTGCAGTGTGTTCCCTCCCAGCATGATCTATGGGTGGAATCTAAACACCTTTGTAATGTGTACACACCCAGCAGGTGTGTTGTGCAAAGCCCTGAAGGAATTCCAAGGTGATGTTGGGTAAATTAGCTCTATGTTGTGTTGCTTGCGTTGATGAATGCAAGGAATGTAAATGCATGAGCTAACCATTTTTGTCTAAACTGTGAAGCAGCATTATATATGCATCATGTGCATGATTTTTCCATATATGGCATTAGTGGAAATATGCTTTTAGAGACTTTTTGGTTGATAAATACGTTTTGCTGTGTGAAAATCACACACACCTGGTGTGTGTGTGTGTTTAGGTTAGTAAATCACCCCCATAGACTTTTATCTGTTTCGCTGCCAGAAGTGCTACAACATACTGACCTGCCCTGACAGGTATATTTTCTGCTCCGGAAACACCTGCTATGTATTTTTCATTTCTTCATTGCACTTTCAAAGCACAAAGTATTTATTTCAACATTAGATGTCTTTATACAAATGTAGTGGAAGAATAAAACATTTCTACAGAATTCAGCAAATGTCTGCATGCATTGGTCTTGTTTTTGGAGGGTTTTCAAAAGTCTGATTTGTCATAGAGCAATGAAACATGGATCAAAAACTTTGAAAAAGACTCAAGATGGAATTTCATTGTCATCACCACATTGGAGGGTCTTCATACCTGTAAAGACAAAACCACAGCACATTATGAAAGTTGCATGCAGCTTTTAAAAGAAGTTCTGTGAATACATTATCTATGTCAGCAATGGCTAAGGTTTTTGATCCAGAGTGCCCAACTGCAATGCAAAATCAATTATTTATTAAAGCAATTGTTGGCAAAGTGCCAATACTGAAAATCATTTTGGTATTGTGTTTTATTTTGGGCACTGGGGTTTAAAAAACATTCAGCATCACTGCAAAATAGGGAAACATTTTATTTTTTCTTATATTGTTATTTATCTTATTGTTTACTTTATTTTTTATCATTTGTATTGATTTTTTTTTTACTTATCACTTTTTTACATGTTTTAAAATTTTCATTACTTCTTATTTTTTAAATTTACCTTCACTTCCTGTCCTGTAGACACAACAGGACGCTTTCCAAAGTGAGGGAATCCTCTCTGTTGTCACTACAACTTTTGTTGCCATTGGAAGACTCTTTCTTATTATTTTTTACTTATTTTTTAATTTTTATGTATTTTATTAATTTTTACTTTTTATAAATTGTAATTATTTTTTACATTTTTACCCTTTTTTTTCCACTTAATTTTATTGCTATCACACAGGGGATAACAAGCCCCTGTGTGATAGCATTTGGAGGTGAAAGGTTCTTTTTATTGAACCTTTAACTTCCAATACAGGAGTTTGAGCACAGCACTGTGCTGGCTCTGTAGTGACAGCTGAGATGGGAAGGCTGTGAGTACAGCTCTCCTGTATCAGTGTTCACACAGAGCAGAGAACAGACATTCTCCGCCCTGCTCCCCACTCTCCATCCTGAACTACTTGTCATGGTCCAGGGTTCCCCAGAAGAGCGAGGGACCCCAAAAACCATGGCGGGGAGAGAGGCGGCCGTCGGGGGTGGGCAAGAGGAGGCTTCCCTGCAGTACATTTAACCCTGCTTGCTCCAAGCACTGCTAAATGTAGAAAAAAAACCTACCCAGCAACCGGAACTGCCTGTGCCAGGCAATATGAATTTGACCCCCCTGCCTAGGATCGGATGCCCACAGAGGGGCCTGTGCGTGCCTACTGTGGCACGCGTTCTATAGGTCCGCCACCGCTGATCTATGGTTTGTAATAAAGAATCAGCATTATAGCTCAGGGGTATGCAGCCACAGTCTGTTTGGAGCATGATACTAATGTACAAACTGTTTAATGGTGATGGTAATATCAGTAATAAACTGTTTACTGTCAGATCACTTAAGAAGACAAGAGGCCACTACCTGGAAAAAAAGAAAGGTTTAATCTTAAACAGCGAAGGAGATTCTTCACTGTAAAAGTGGTAAAATTGTGGAACTCCCCAGGCTGAGGTATCAGCTAAGAGTATTGACTCATTCAAGGACCATTTAGATGCTTTCCTTGGAGAGCACAATATACAGGGGTACAGGTACTGTTAGTAACTCATACACACACATACAGACACATAGGTTGAAACTGATGGACTTGGAACTTTATTTAACCTCAACAACTATGTAACTACTTAACATTTGAGGAGATAGCTGATCTTCTGTACACTGCTGCATGTGGTTTGTATTCTAGTGCAAGGAGGCTTTATTGTAGTGCAATTTTCAAAGATTATGTAGAGAAGGGTTGTGATAGGGTCCTGGAAAGTAAGTCCCCACAGACAATGACACCAATAGTCACATGTCTAATATACCTAATTGGAAATCTTGTCCTGTCATACAAGGCGATTGCACATAAAGGATTTAAGATCTTCAGAATGCAGCCAATTTACATTCGCCCTCTGGATTATGCAACTGGTTGCACTCTTGTCTCGCCCTTCCAATGCTATCACCTGTCTATTGGCCACTGGAGGTAGCCTCAGAGAACAATTGGAAGGCAAGGCAAGACAGTGGGAGCGGTTGGACTACAGCACAAGCCATGGCAGCCTGGTTGTAATTTACATAAAAAAGAGATGGGGCTCCCAGGGAGATCAGCAAATTACCTAATGGTTTACATAGATAAATGGTGGTTCCCTAACTCCAAGAATTATACAGTACTGCTCAGAAGCTTCTTGGCAGCATTAACCTGTCACAGGTACTCTGAGGATTCCTTCTCCACTTGTAAATTTGGAAAAGCAGGCTGCACTACCGCATGTGTCAGCCTTTAATAAAAGTCTTATCAAACACAACAGCTTGTTTGTTGCAAAATGCATTTGAACAGAGTTTGGCGGGGAATACTGTTTCAATCAATAAAGTTTTATTGAATACCGGTACATTCGGTAGTGCAGCCTGTATTTGTACATTTGCATCTGGAAGTTCTTTACAATCCAGCAGCTATTTCATCAAGAAGCTATAGGTTAACTTTAAATACCTGAAATCTGATCCAGTAACAAAATGTGTCTATAGCTAAGAGGTATAATTGAAAATGTGTACAAAGTGTCTCCCGTATATTTGTCCTAAATGTAAATGTATTAAATTCTAGCAAGAAAAATGTATAATCTTACAGCGCACAAGTGACTTAGAGATGCTATATGTAAAATATCACATCAAAAATATATATTTATGCAAACAATTTATTGATGACACATAATTTGAGTTGACATAATTAATGTTTTTTCTGATGAAATATTATTGTGTTATAACTAAGGATTAGCTACGGGTTTAGGTCTAACATTAGTTCGGCCTGAACCCAAGTTGTGTTGAACAGACCCATATCTGATAGGGATAGATCACAGAGCATTTTCAGGGAGATCTAGTTCCTGCTGCTGATTGATGAAAACTACTATATTTAGAGTAAAACACATACACACTGAATTGCGTTCAGGAAAGATCTAGAGCAGACAGAGAAAGATCACGGAGTGTTTGCGGTGGGAGAGCCAGTTGCTGCTGCCGATGTATGAAAACTGTTTGCAGGGACAGATACTTGCTGATATACTACCATTTACAATACTGCTGCTGAAAAATGCTTTATTTGCATTTAGTTATATACACAGTCAGTCAATGTTTGTTACAGTCTTGGAGCAGATGGGGGAGGGACCACACAGTCTTTAAAGTGAGAGAGAGTTGTTGCTATACTACCATTATACAGTGCTGCTGCTGAAAACTGCTATATTTACAGTCAGTCATATACACAGTCAGGAAACATGGAAAAATTTAGGGAGAGTCTTGCAGGGTGAGATAGTTGTATGGTACGATTTAGTGCACCAAATCACCATATTGTGAAGTGCCCCAAAGCACCAAATCCTTAATACCCTTATTACCACAGCTGTTAATAAAGTTAGGCAATCACCTGTATTCATATTGTCAGGCAGGCCTAAAGGGAGATGCAGAGGTTATGCATGTGCAAATGATAAAATGTGCATAAATCATATGTTTAACTCAATGTAAGCAGTGGACCCCATGGACCATTGAGTGTCGAGGCTGGACCACTGACCATTTTATAAAAAGAAAAAAACTCTTTGGAAATATGTCCCACAATTGGATGCTTAACCTACCATACTCCATTCTTCAATTAGACACGTTATGGATTTTGCTTGTTTATACTATACTGTATCTGTGTGGCTGCTGCGTCAGCTAATGGTTGTCTACTTATTCTTCTTTAAAATCCAATAAAAATGTTTGGAAAGAAAATATGGACCACATATCTGCTTACAGAGCGTACATCAAGTCTGTTCAGGCTTTTTTTCTGTAAAATAATACACCTACATTTTGATTTCTTGAATAAAACCTGGCTGGTCTATCACTCAGAAAATGTGGCCTGGTAAAAGTGCCTAAATACTGTGCATGGAGTTAGTATAATACTTCACTGGCAGTTTTCTGTGAAATAATGAACCCTAATGTTGATTTTTTTTAAAGCCTGCCTGTTGTCTTTTTCAATCTGTTGTAACTGCTACTTCTACAGGTCAATTCAGGCCTATTACCGCTGATTAAAATATCAGATGTTGATTCAAGAAATACCCGAAAAAGCCTTTTGTCCAATACACGCTAATTCAGATTGGGGTAATACTGATGCTGTGTTAAAGCCAAGACATAAAGTAAAAGTAAAAAGACTATTACAATAAACTCCAATATGGGATAATGGGGTATTGCATGAGGTAAACAAACTTCAGGGTTTTGGAATATGGAAGGAAACAGGGATTGAATCATTGACGCAAATTTATGATCAGGGTATTTTGTGCTCGTTTCAACAGTTACAGGCAAGTTATTCGCTACCAAATGCTCAATTTTATAAATATCTGCAACTAAGGCATGCGCTCGCGGCACATCCAGGTGTACGTGAGGTCTGCATTGATGCAAATGTGGTTATAGATAAATTTTTTGATACAACAGTGACGAGAGGTTTGATCTCAAAGATGTATGCAAATTTACTACCTGGGGTCCTGAATAAATCTCCCATGAAATGTAAAGTGGGCTGGAAAATGGACTTGGGGCCTCTGGATGAAGCCCTCTGGAGGGAGGCGATGTTGTCAATTCAATTAGTTTCACCATCTGCATCACACAAATTGACGCAGCTTTATATTGTACATAGAACATATCGGACCCCTGAATTCCTACATAGGATAGGATTCAGGGAAAATTCTAAATGTCCAAAGTGTGGGGTTGAACCTGGTTCGTTAATACATCTGCTGTGGAGATGCCCAAAGCTGAAACGATATTGGCAGGAAATAGTAGACATAATAAATACAGCCTTTGGAGTTCATATTTCTAATAATCCCATGTTATGTATCATGTGTATTTTTTGGACCCATAAAGGTGGAATATTACACAAAGGTGGCAATAACGAGGGCTCTATTTGTAGCCCGGCATAGTATAGCCCTTAGGTGGATTTCAGCAGCGCCTCCCACAGTAGAGGAATGGAAGAAAGAACTAGATAAAGTGGTTGGATTTGAGGGAATTATGTTCAAGCACAGAGGTACTATGGACAAATATGGTAAAATGTGGGATAAGTGGATTGAATATGGTAAAGGACCTTGGGTATAATATCTCTCGTATAATATCTCTCCTATTTATTATTGGTACTCTG